CCCACAGGATGTTTGACCGAGTTCAACTTGTTATTCACCATGGTGGAAATTTCAGTTGCAAGCCTAAGTGTGTGTACAAGGGTGGTGATGTTGATAGGCTTGTAATTGATCCAGATTTAATTTGCTACCATCATCTAATGAAATGTTTGAAATCTGGTAATTATGGGAATATCAGTGGGTTGTTTTATAAGAGACCTAAGGACCCCATGGACAGTCTTCATCACCTATTCAATGACGAAACCACCTTGCATTTAATTCAGTTGGCAATAAGCTGTGGAGCATGTGATATCTTCGTAGAACATGGGATAGATGATGTTGAGTTGGTTGACATTTTTCCCTTACCTGCACCACATGTTGAAGAGACATACAGTGAGAGTCACATTAGAGACTCAAATGGGAAACAAATTGTTGAAGAAGAAGAAGAAGAACAAACACATGACAGTGTGTACTCTGAATAGAAAGATGAAATGGAAGAGGGTGGTAGTGGAGAAGAAACTTCAAAGGGTGAAACAGAAAATGATGAAGAACTTGATGAGGAATTGAGTGGGCAGCATGGGCAAGGAACTGAAAATGAAGACACCCAATATTTTAAAAACAAATTCCAAGATTGGGGTGCTTGTGACTCAGAAACAAGTGTTGAGTATGATTCTGACAACCATTCCGGCATACATTCAGAAGAGAATGAAGATGATACAATCATGCAGCATAAAACAAAGAAGGTAAGGCATCCAAGCTATAACCCAGAGTTTGAACGACCTCATATTCAGTTGGCCATGCTGTTTGAGGATGGAAGGCAGTTTAAAAATGCAATTATCAAATATGTTGTATTCAAAAAAAGAGACCTCCGGTTCGCTAAGAATGAACCAAAGAGAGTGCGTGTGAAGTGTGCTACAAACTGTCCTTTTAGGTGTACTGCTACATGGGATAAAAGGTATCACTGTATGCAAGTGAAGTTGTTTAGAAAACGTCATTTATACAATAAGGTATCACTGTATGCAAGTGAAGTTGTTTAGTTAGAAATGGATTGAAGAGCAGTACAAAGAAAAAGTTTTTGCTAATCAAAACATGACTGCCATGGACTTAAAAGCTCTTATTAAGGCTGAACTTAAGATGAAATGGCCAGATTTTTTTCCTTTAATATGAATAAGTGGTATTTTTTGTTTATATAGGAACCCATAGTTTATGACATGTGTTCTATGTGTTTTTCAGGAAACTTTGGATCCATTATAAGAAAAAAGTTGAATAAGAATATTTATGCCATCTCTGGGTGGCATGTTGATTTCAATGGAGACAATGGGTATGAGATCAAGAAGGGAAGACATCAATTCACAGTCACGCTACAAGGCAGATCTTGTAGTTGCAGAAAGTGGGATGTTTCAGGTTGTTTGTTATGAATAGTCCAACCTAAAAGTTTTTTCTTCTTCTTCTTCTAATACTGTTTTTTATTGTTATTTAAGGTATACCTTGTGCCATTTTAGACCGTCACAATCCAGAAGACTTTGTGGATAGGTGCTATTTTAAAGAGATGTATGAGAGAACATACTCACATACCCTGCAGCCTATTAATGGGGAAATGTTTTGGCCGAGAACTGATTATGAGGAAATCCAACCACCTATACCCCAAAAAATGAGTGGAAGGCCAAAGAAGAAAAGAGTACGTGAAGAAAGTGAGCCTTCCTCAGCAAGTCAACTGTCAAGGAAGGGTATAGTTATGTCATGCTTAAAGTGTAAGGAACCTGGTCATAACAGGTTGCGTTGTCCAAATAGCACTGCACCTACTCCAACTACAACAAGCAGAGGAAGAGGAAATGGGAGAGGGAGGGGTAGAGAGAGGGGTAGAGGGAGGGGTAGAGAGAGGGGTAGAGGGAGGGGGAGAGAAACTGAATCAACTACTGATGGACCTATTGGAGGTGAAGCTGAAGTAGGGAGTGGTAGGGGAAGAGGAAGAACTATGGGGAGAGGAAGAATGAGGGGAACAGGGAGGAAGAACACTGCTGATAATGTATTTGGTTTTGGGATTTACATGGACCCACAAACTGGAGCAACTGTCCTTAATGTATGCATTGTGCACCTTTCATGATTTGTGGTCATTTATAAATGTTGATTGATTATTGAACATCACAATTTCTTTGTTATTGCAGCCTAACCGGCATGGAGAAACGGTGGTGTGTGAAGGGACAAATTGAAGAAGGGAACCACAAGAAGAATAGACTGGTTTTGGGCACCGGTCAAGTTGACTGTCAGGAGTTGGTTTTTGGGACTTATCAAGCTTAAATGTCAACAATTTTGTGTGTATATATAATATATACTACATTGGACAGTGTAATTTATGAAGTAGCACGTTTTGGGTTTTATGTTCATGTAAACTGTGCTTATGATGCTTTGTAAGGTTATAATGCTTTTTTGTAAACTCTTATGTAAACTATGGTTTGGATGGCACATTCTGGCCAATATTTTGAATGTTAAGATATTTGGGCATAAATACTGGTTCAATCCTGTATTTTGTATTATGCAGGACTGTATTTTGGTTCAGGGCTGGATTTTGGTTGGTTTAGGGCTGCATTTGGGTTGGTTCAAGGCTGCATTTAGGTTGGTTGAGGGCTGCATTTAGGTTGGTTCGGGGTTGCATTTAGGTTGGTTCAGGGCTGCATTATTTAGGTTGGTTCAAGGCTGCATTTAGGTTGGTTCAGGGATGCATTTAGGTTGGTTCAAGGTTGTATAATGTTACTTAAACCTTGCATATCACACATGGTTTAGGGCTGCAGGCTGCAGGTGGATAACTTATTTCAGAGCCAGTAGCAGTTTCTTTTTTAATTACTTCACCACTTTTATGTCTAAACATGTGCTGTAACTGTGCATATCACACATATGAGCAGACCATAACAACAAATGGAAACCAATCAATGAAATTGCATCAAACTAAAAACTATGTACTGCTTTGAAATTGCATCAAACTACTTCCATAAGCAAATCATGAAACACCTATATTTTTATCACTTTGAAAATGGTGCTTCTTGGCATCTCTTCTTTCACCTGAACTACTTACACTCATATCATTTCAATGAACTGGTTCCAAGAATCGCAGTACACTAATCAGTGCATAACAACAAGAGAAAAAAACAGCATTACTTTCACCTCAGTTCAATCCAATACCAAAAGCAGTCAATACATTTTCATAAATCAGCCTTCACACACACATTTCCAATAAAACAGCATTACTTCCTAATGAATGACAAAATCAGCCTTCACACATACTTGGCTTAGTCAAAAAAATAAACCCAAATAAACCTAAGCATAAACATAGACCAACTGAATAACAAAACACCCTAAAACACAAATTCTCCTTCGACTCTGCTTGTAGGTGCACTCTAGTAGAAGCAATGTCTTGTTCAACCAAATACCTGTCTTCCTCACCCATGGAATGATTCCTCCTATGCAGTTCATCATCTCTTCTAGTCCAAATAGGCAAGCGACTATTAATGTCATTCTTTGAATCCACATCCTTCCAAGCAAAGAACCCACATCCTTTTCCCTCCTACAAAATAACACCAACAAAACTAGGTTGTAATATACCCAAAAAATTGAAATTACTAGTACATCAATTTTGACATACCTTCCAGTTTTGACATCCGTAGAACAATCGTCCACTTTGACGACCTGTGCAAAGGGGTGATTTCAGTCCACAGAGGCAATACATACTCAACTCATAGTTAAGAGTGGATAGCTTGGTTCTTCTTATACTTGATGTCGAAGAAGATGACATTCTTCGTGGCTTCTAAGAGAGACGACATGTGCGAAGAGCTCTGGGCGTGACGACCTGTGCGAAGAGCTCTGGGCGTGACGACCTGTGCGAAGAGCTCTGGACGTGAGAGAAATGACCTGCGTACAATAACTTTCAAATAGGGTTAAGATTCAGTTTTGAGGATTTAAAAAATATAATGCCACATCATCCGTCAGCCACATTAAAATTTGCCACATCAATTTTTTATATGAAGTTTACCGGGTACCGGTTGATTACAGGATAAAAGGAGGATCTCGCCGTTTTAAAAAAGGTTAAGGGTTTAATTGAGGGAAGTTTCGGTTCAGGGGCTTAATTGATTTTTTTTAATAGTTGGGGGGCTTATTTGACCGTTTTCCCTTCTTTTTACTATATATGTTATTTTGTATAAAGTATATAATTAAATGTTCAAAATAATGCCCCGTATTTTTTGTCTGAATTTTTGTAACCGATAACGTATTATACACGTATACATATTTACACGTTTTATAAAAATCAACGTTTTTTCAACGAATTTTTGACCGTTATTTTCATTCATGTTACCGAATAAAACACGAAGGTATTAAATCTCGTTTAATTCCCGTACTATGAGCCCGTTTGGTAGCACGAAAATCGGCTGTTTTGGCTGATTCTGCTGAAATTTATGAAGTTCTGGCTGAAGTGGCTGCTTTGGCTGTTTCTGCTGATTTAAGTAAAAATTATTTTTAAAATATATTTTATTAATAAAATAAAGAAAAAATTATATGGAAAATAGCTAAAATGACCATCTACAGTAACTTCAGCCAATACAGCCAGAAAAGTAACTCTAACCTTACTTTTTCTGCTTATTACACAATTCAGCGTGCGAAAGTAAAAGTTACGTGTTTGGTGAAAAAGTTGGCTGATAAGACTGATAAGCCGAAAAAAAGTTACCAAACGGCCTCTATATTTAACTATTGTTCCAAAAAAGGTGGAATCTCCCACCCCAGGAGCCCCCCACCCCGACCCGACATGATGGTGGGAAGGTTAGTCGACTCAGTCAGCAGAATGACAGTAAACCCATACACCCGTGCGCACAAGAGGCTCAGTCTTATTTCAGATTCTGTGACCTCCACCCGATCGCTGCGGGAATTCGAACATTGATCCATTGTTCCAAATCTCCCACCGTTCGACCAACTAAGCTGCCCTTGCCGGTGGGTCGATGTTTAACTAAGTAAGCCGTAGTGCCCACCAACCAAAGAGACAGGAATAAATATTTGTTCTATTCCCCATCATTCCCCAAAAGGCGACGCTATTCGCTCTCTCCCAGTTTGTTTACTGCCGTTCTTATCTGCCGTTCTTATCGTTTTTGAGGTCAACCCAATCTTCACTACATTTCTATAGATCGATAATATTGGGTTCATTCAATTGGATTTTAAACAATTAAACCCCGTTTATATCCTAGCTGAGGAGTGAATACCAGAGTGGATCTTTCCATTTCTGCCTAAATATGAAACTCAATCGCAACCTATTCATTTCCTCAAGATCTCTACGCATTTTCTGCCCCAAACTTTAGCATAAATCAAAGATTCTCATATCCCATTGGGGAACATTTTTGGGGGTTTCAGCAAAGCACAATGAAACGGAGAGGGGTGCGCCCACTCTTCAGCGCACTTCTGCTCATAGCGCTGGCGGTGACGCTCTTTGGCCGGCTCTTCCTCCGATACTCCTCATTTGAGTCAAGAATCGGAAACCCTTTTGCCCAGAAGGCCCAAAAAGTGATCTTTAACGAGACCCTTCTCAAATACGCATATATAGATATTGGGGAGCCTCGGTTAAAGAAGGATGTTGAGGAGCTGTTAGAAGGTAATTTTCGAACTCATGGTCGCCATAGATCTTTCTTGTCTTCGGGTAGATATCATATTGACCTTAGAGTCAGGTCATCCAATGGCATGCCTTTACAGGTTCGGTCACCTGAGTTTAACATCCTCTGGGCTAGTTTCCGGAGGTATTTGCGTGACTGGTTTCATAAAAGACTGTTTCCTATTCACCCCATGGTTGACTTTTTCGATAAAGTAAAGTTCTTGATTGATAATCATGAAAGTAAAGGAGTACTGAATACTAATAAGAAGAAAAGGTATAGTTCTTGTGCAATTGTGGGAAATAGTGGGATTTTATTGAACACTGAATATGGGCGGTTAATAGATGGTCATGAGATTGTGATCCGTTTAAACAACGCCAGGACTGGAGGGTATGAACGTAATGTGGGCTCCAAAACAAACATTTCATTTGTAAATAGTAACATATTGCATCTATGTGCAAGAAGGCAGGGATGCTTTTGTCATCCTTCCGGACCAAACGTGACTATGGTTATGTATATCTGCCAACCGGTCCATTTATTCGATTACCTGGTGTGTAATGCCTCTTTCAGAGCCCCACTGGTTGTCACTGACCGAGAATTCGATGCATTGTGTTCTAGGATTGTGAAGTACTATTCTTTGAAACGGTTTGTGGAGGTTTTGGGGAAGAAGGTGGATGAGTGGGGAGCTGCTCATGATGGGGTTAATTTCCATTACTCTTCAGGCATGCAGGCTGTTATGCTGGCATTGGGATTGTGTGAGGAAGTTGGGATATTTGGGTTTGGCAAATCAGCTGCGGCTAAACATCATTACCACACTAATCAGAAGAGTGAGCTGAAGTTGCATGATTATGAGGCAGAGTATGATTTGTATAGGGATTTGATTGAGAGGCCTCAGGTAATACCTTTCCTTCCTGATATGTTCATCGTCCCTCGTGTTTCGATATACCATTGATGTTTTCAACACAATTGATTTGCTCATATGACTAGTGTAGATTGTTTAGTCTCCCATGGCTAAGCCAACTGTTTGGGAGAAAATTTCTGTCTAGACTTGAATCACTCTTTGCTCCATCAAAGCCCAGCAGAACGTGTAATGAAAATTGCTGAATTGTAACGTTTTTAGTACTAAAAAGTTCCCAAGTGCTGAAGTGCAAGTAGGCTCTACTATAGTATAGTGCTGTAATTTTGTTTGGGCATGTAATTTTAGAAACATTTATGTACTTGTGTTAACTTAAGCAGTTATTATTCTGTCTTAAACAACATTAATGCTTTAGGGCAACTGGTGCTTCACAGTCTTCTATGCAGCTTGAGTAATGCCAATTTACACATGGATATATGATAATGAAGCTCTTAGATTTGAACTTTGTTAGTTCAGTTTAGTTCCCTTTTGGCAGCTCATTCTGGCCCGTTATTCTTGATGTACACGCCCTTGTATACTCCTATTTTAACTGTCAATGTTTTGGCATTTTTACTGAATTATATTTATATAAAGATAAATAGGCCATGTACAAGAATGAGTACTGTTGGGAAAAACTCCGGACTTTTCCCGCTTCGTGAAGTTATGATAGGCACTTAGGAATTAAAGTAGTAACGGGAGCACACAATTTAAATTCTCCAATATGGAGATTCTTCCACTATACAAAAGAATAGTAGGATTTACAAGGATGTTACAAAATTGTCTCACTCAATGGTGGCTCACTCAAGCTCGAGGATAGGAACTTCCCAAGCTATGACTATCTCTCTTCTCTCTCAAAGAGGCTCTCTCAAAGTGGCTCTCAAAGAAGTGGATTCACTCTTGGCTAGGATTGCTAGGATGGTTAGGAATGGATGCTCCTACTCCTATTTATACTACTCCACCTCCATAATGAGTGGTGGAGAATAGTTCTCTAGAATGATCTACACATGACTACCTATTCTAGAGAATTCTAAGGAATCTCTACACCTCTCCATTCCAGAGGGTTCCACATTATTTCGCAAGCTTCTAGAGAGTTCTAGACTTCTTTAGGATTCTCCACAACGTTCTAGAAAATTCTATACTTCTCTAGAAAGCTCTAGAATTTTCTAGAACCTCTCCAATTAAGGAGGGATCCCAACAAATCTCCCCCTCCCGACTTAATGGGGTGGGTTGTAGCAAACTTGCACCTTAACAACAATCTTCAAACTTCTTTGTCGGTATTACGTTGGTCATCATGTCTGACCAGTTCTTCTCAGTGTGAACTTTGCCAAGATGCAATTTCTTTTCCTCGAGAACTTCTCGGCAATATCTTTACCACGGGAGAGAATCTCTTCAATGTCGATGCCTTTTTCTTGACTGAATCCTTTGACAACCAGCCGAGCTTTGTAGCGGGGCTTTGAGCTACTATCTTCGGTCTTGATTCGACTCACCCACTTATTCTTTAAGGCCCTTCTCCCATTTGGTGTGATTCTCATGCAAGGCCCTTCTTCGGTCTTGCTTCACAGGTTCATAAGTGTGATTCTCATGCAAGGATTGCTTCTCTTCTTGCATGGCTTTTCTCCACTCTTCTTTATGAATATCATTGATTGCTTCTTTATAGTTTTGTGGCTCCCCCTCATCCGTGAGCATCACGTAGTCCTCGGTGTTGTACCGAGTGGATGGTCTTCTCTCCCTTGAGGATCACCTCGACTCTGGTGGTGGCAGAGAACTAGATTGAGGATCTTCCTGATTTGATTCATCATGAGTCTCCTGGTTGCTTTGCTCTAACACAGGCTCATGCTCTTCAGCATTATTGTTTTGATGTGGATCAGTGTCCTCACATCGAACTTGAGTAGGTTCGATGCTCCTGCTGCTTCTCAATCTTGGCTTCTCCGAATTTTTAATGTCTTCAATTGTTTGGTCTTCAAAGAACACCACATCTTTGCTACGAACAACCTTCTTGTTGTTTGGATCCCATAACCGGTAGTTGAATTCATCCTTGGGTGAGCGAAGGTAGATACACTCCTTTGTCTTTGCGTCAAGCTTAGCTCGCTCATCCTTGAGGATGTGAACAAATGCTCTGCACCCGAACACCTTGACATGATTGTATGAAGCTCTTTTACCTGTTCAGTCTTCCTCTGGGATGGCGCCGTTCAAAGGAACTGATGGTGTGAGGTTGACAATGTCAACTACGACCATTATAGCTTCTCCCCAAAAGGATTTGGGTAACTTAGCATGAGAGAGCACGCAACAAACTCTTTCTTCAATTGTTCTGTTCATTCTCTCTGCTAGACCATTCAATTGTGGTGTCTTGGGTGGAGTCTTCTCTAGCCTAATTCCATATTTATTGCAATAGACTTCAAACGGGCCTCTATATTCACCTCCATTGTCAGATCGTACACATTTGATCTTTCGTCCTGTCTCACGTTCTACAAGACCGTGGAATTCCTTGAAAACGTCAACTACTTGATCCTTTGATTTTAACAGGTGCAACCATACCTTCCTTGAATGATCATCAATGAAGGTCACGAAATACAATGCACCGCCAATGAATCTCTCGGACATTGAGCATACATCGGTGTGTACAAGGTCAAGAATATTCTTTCTCCTACTAGGCGGAGAAAATCTTTGGAAAGCAACCGTGTGTTGTTTTCCAGCTAAACAGTGTGCACAAGAATCAAGTGACTTACCTTTCACGTCCGGGAGGAGTTGTTTCCGAGCAAGTATTTGAAGGCCTTTCTCACTAATGTGGCCAAGTCGTTTATGCCATACCTCCATATCACCTGTGGTTATATTTATCTATCCTTTACAGAGCTTTGCTTGCATCACGTACAATGATCCTTCCTTCTTCCCTCGAGCCATGACCAAACTTCCTTTGGTGAGCTTCCATTTTCCTTCACCAAAGTAATTCATCAAACCAACATCATCTAGCTTCCGAGCGGAGATGAGATTGAGGCGCATGGCCAGAACATGCCTCACATCTTTTAGAACAAGCTTGGATCCGGTGCTAGTTGTCAGGATGATGTCTCCTATCCCAACTATCTTGCTCCTATCTTGGTTTCCCATTTGAACCATATCAAAGTCACCGCTTTGGTAAGATGAGAAGAAACTTCCATGGGGAGTAACATGGAAGGAAGCACCAGAATCGATAATATAAGAACTATCATCATAAGCAATGTTGAGGATATTACCTTCTCCAATGATATATAGCAGATCTTCTTTTGCTACTACGGCAGTGGTACTCTTCTCTTCTTGCTGCTTCTTCGTTGGGCTGACTTGGTCTGGTTTGACGTTACCGGCCTTTTGATCTCTTTTGAAGGATCGACACTCCATTTCCCCGTGGCCCATTTTTTCACAGTAGTAGCATGTGATCTTCGAGCGTGACTTGGACCTACCTCGAGATTGTTGCGGATCTCGGCTCTTACATCGTCCACGAGTCACAATCCTACCCCGGTTCTCGATAACATTCGCCTCAGAATGCATAGACTCACCTCGTTCCATTCTCCTTGTTTCTTCACTAAGAAGACTATCACTGACGCTGTCCATGGTTAGCTTTCCTTCCGGAGTTGAGTTACTAAGCGTAACCATGACTGTGTCCCAACTTTCTAGCAAGGAACTAGGTAGAAGGGCTTGCAACTCGTCATCAATCTTCATCTCAATTTTGGTTAATTGATTTACGAGCCCCTTGAAATTGGTCAAGTGTTCAATCATACTATGATCATCCTTATACTCCAACTTCACCAATCGCCGAACTAAATTGGCCATATTACGAGGTGTTTTCTTTTGAATCATGGACTCAAGCTTTGTCCATAATTCATAAGCATTCGTGTAAGTGGACACATGCTCGAAGAGGGATTTGTCAATGTACTTACGGATCATAGCAACGACCTTTCGATTCAGTAGCTCCCATTGAGCGTCACTCTGGCCTTCCACCTTCTCTTTGTAGATGATGGGCTCATGCAAATCCTTGCAATATAGATGATCCTCCATCATCGGCTTCCAATATGAGTAGTTGTTGGCGGTAAGCTTGAACATGTCTCCATCATGGGCGACATTATCCTCCATCTTTAACTGCACGAGCTAATGTCGACCTCAAATGAACCTGGCTCTGATACCACTGTTGGGAAAAATTCCGGACTTTTCCCGCTTCGTGAAGTTAAGACAGACACTTAGGAATTAAAGTAGTAACAGGAGCACACGATTTAAATTCTCCAACATGGAGATTCTTCCACTATACAAAAGAATAGTAGGATTTACAAGGATGTTACAAAATTGTCTCTCAATGGTGGTTCACTCAAGTTTGAGGATAGGAACTTTTCAAGCTATCTCTCTTCTCTCTCAAAGAGGCTCTCTAACTTTCTCACTCAAAGAAGTGGATTCACTCTTGGCTAGGATTGGTAGGATGGTTAGGAATGGAGGCTCCTACTCCTATTTATACTACTCCACCTCCATAATGAGTGGTGAAGAATAGTTCTCTAGAATGATCTACACATGACTACCTATTCTAGAGAATTCCAAGTAATCTCTACACCTCTCCATTCCCTTCCATATGCTTCCATACTCTTCCATAAGCTTCCAGAAGGTTTCACACATCTCCAGAATATTCCAGAGAATTTCACATTATTCCGCAAGCTTCTAGAGAGTTCTAGACTTCTCTAGGATTCTCTGCAATGTTTTAGAAAATTCTATACTTCTCTAGAAAGCTCTAGAATTTTCTAGAACCTCTCCAATTAAGGAGGGATTCGAACAAGTACAAATGACATGTACAAGGTAACAGGCAAAAATGAGAACAAATGACAATTGTTCTAGCTAAAAAACATAATTTCCATTCGGTACAAATGGTGGTTACATACTTACATTATCAATTTGTTCTATATTTTAACAATGTTATCATAATTTCCATTCTGTACAAATGGTGTTTACTTTGACAATTTATAATACTGTTCACATCCCTTAAAATCCTTAAATACATAATAACACTCCAATAATGTACTATAAGTGTATGTCTGCATATTAACACTTCTAGTTGCGAGTCTTAAAGGCATATATCATCAACCCAGGAAAGTGAGTCCTCATGAAATAATTGCCCCACTTGACTACTTTTGGGTCAAAGTAGAACATATCTGCCTCAATGCCCCCTTCTTCAGCCACTCTCCCCAATTGTTCTGTTCATATCACCAAATCTGTCCCCCATATATTCAATCATATATTACGTTTTCTCAGGCACATTGATTTAATAAACAATATAGTTAATTCAAAATTTAATAATTATACTTACATTATCTTGATTTTTCTATTCATCTCAGTGTATACATTCTGTAAATAATGACAACATGGAATGATTACTATCTCCAAACCCTGTAAAGTGCAAGCAACCATACATATAAATAAGAACAGCCATTTTTTAATCTAGACTCGAGCTCGACTAGTAGTCTAGTATGAACCAAACTCTAAGAAGTCTCTGAGGCTGCTACTTTGACTTCATGACGGTATAATTGTAAGACAG